AGAAATGCTGTTTCTGTACAAATGTTTTCTAGAGGGCTAGATTCTGTATTGAGGAGGAGTATAAATTGCGAAGGTTGTCCATTCCTCAGGGAATTAAAACTCATTCTCTAAGTCGAAGGCATTCTCTATGGCTTTTTCTAGATATTTTTCTGTGGTAGAGATATGTAGAGCAGCAACTTGCAATGCTGTTCATACTTTTATTACACACTGTTCCTTAGCTTTAGAGTCCAGATCTGATGCAAAATTTGGCAAGGCAGTCCTTCAGTCCTTATATAAGTCGGACCCTGTGGTCCCACCATCCTGACTTGGAGTACTGCTTATTAGTTTATCCCATGAATGGGAGTATGCAGAGGACTCCCTGGAGTCAAAGGAGAAATGAAGGTTACATACCTATAACCGAGGTTCTTCAAGATGAACTCTGCATATTCACATTCCCCACCTGCCTTTCCCTTGGAGTCCTACTTACCAAAGGACTTGGAGTCATAGGGGAAGAAACTTCGGTGGCTGAAGCACCGAGACCTTTTAAACCCTCTCCCTGGAACGCTTGACATTCATTGAAGAGAGGGACAAAAGACACACATGAGCACTCTAATGCCTACTACTAGCTTTAATTCTACCATTCAGACTGCACAGGTCAGAGCATCCCATAAGGGTAAATATGCAAAGGAAGAATCTATGTTACAGATAAGTAACCATCATTTCTCTTTGGTCCATGTGGCACAGGGCAATAAAGCCTTGAGTTGACAGGGGGAGGTAAACACTTTTACTGACCCCGTATCTTACAGACAACATGCAGACTGAGGTGGATGTCTGACAATCAGATTTGAGATAGACACCAAAGCCCTGGCCCACAATCTAAGGAACTCAATAGCTGGCACTCAAGGAGCATATTTGGCACTGGGCCAGATCCTCCACTGATGTAAATCAGCATAACTCATTGATTTCAACAGAACTGCACTGATTTACACCAGCTAAGGATCCAGCCCATTATATCACCTTGCCATCAGCTGCAGATAAGCATAGTTTACGATGCAGTCTACGCCATTCTGCTCTTTCCCAAGACATAACCCCGAGGACTCTGACAGACTTGGATACCCATAAGCCTACAAGCACTGTACCTTGTCTATTGCATGCTTTTATTTCCACTTATATTTTCACATATTTTGGGTACTTATGGGGCCTCTAACATGCAGCAGGATGCTTTATTCCTATCGCATAGAGTAATCAAATGTCATGCTTTCATGCAAATTTCATATATAAGGTGTAGACACAGAGGTCAGAAAGGAATTCTCCCTCATGAAAATTAGCTAGATGCTTGCAATTGGTAAGATGCATTATGAATGGATGCAGGATTTAGGGAAGGAGTGTAATCAGCTGCCTGTGAACAATACCTGACTTGTTGGATCAATGCTTTGATCTAGTATGACAAATCCTATATAATATATGAGAAATAAAGATACCTAATTGAACTAAAGGTCTGCTTTCTATGCCCTGCGTAAAATCACTGATGAGTCATCTGGCAATATCATTTCAGCACTTCCCTTTCCAGTCATAGTAACTCATGAATCAGAGTTTTAGAAAAATGATTTTTTGTTGCCCGCAGCTCTAATATCCACAGAGAGAGCATCACATAAAACCACAGCTTCTCAGAGTCATATGTTTCTATATAGTGAATGCAGATGGAGTAAAAATAAATCCTCCATGTTATCTGTTGTATTCTTCATTTCTGAAACAGTAAAGCCAAGACTTTCAAAAATGGATGCATAAAATTAGATCTGGGTTCTATCCTAAATCCAAATTCAGGCAGCTAAACTGGTAATCTGATTTTCAAAAGCCAACTGTTCCCCATGACTTAAATGTTATTGCTGGGTGACTTCAGTGGCTGCTACTGGGTGTTCAGCACTTTTGAAAATCAGGCCACTGATCTAGCTGCATAAATAGATTTAGAAGCCTAACTTTGAGCAGCCAAATTCAGCACTGATGTATGCGGGTGCAACTGTTGTAATGTAAATAGAATTGCACTTGCTTACACCATATAGGGCTGAATTTGGCCCTATATTTATTTTTTTCATTTATAATAGTTGAACATATTATCCTTGTGCCATCTCATAGCTGTCTTGGTAAATATTTTTTTATGTATTTGGCCTTTATTCAGTAATCCTAAACAAGAGTTATCTTCGGGCAGATTCTGCATTTGAGGGAGAGACACGCATACACACAGTGCTACATGTACTTAGAAAAACTGCCTGCCACTCCTCTAAAACCTACTTCCCCTTTGTCAGTGTTTTGATGTGATGCTTAAATAAAATAAAAATGAATTAATGGAGATATCCTATCTTCTAGAACTGGAAGGGACCTTGCGAAAGGTCATCAAGTCCAGCCCCCTGCCTTCACTAGCAAGACCAAGTGCTGATTTTTGCCCCAGATCCCTAAGTGGCCCCCTCAAGGATTGAACTCACAACCCTGGGTTTAGCAGGGCAATGCTCAAACCACGAAGCTATCCCTTACTTTACAGCACAGCACATCATTCGAGCTTTTGCTTCACTCCTGAACTTCTCAGCAGTGAGGAACCACACAGTTCAAAACAATCATTCTTCATTATAATGAGCTTCCAAAACAGCCAGGTTTCAATATCCATGTCCTGCCTTCATTTGGTCCCAAATTTTGACAGGAACTTGACATGTTAAGCTATCAGTTGTGTATGTGAATCCATGGCTGTCTGGATGAAAAAGTGTATTTTCTAGCAGTGCAGCCTGTTAATAAAAGAAAACTGCCTTTTGCACTAAATCAGCAATGTTCGGAATTTCTTGTCAGCTGTGGACACCTAAATCAAGATGCCTGCAATTTTTACCCGTGGGAGAAGGGGAGGGAAAGATGCTTCTTACATGTAGTGAAGGACTTGCAGTGCAAAATGTTATTTGTTTATCAGTTTGTTTCATAAATGGGGAAAAAATAGAATCTCTTTCATTCACATTAAATTACTGCGTGTATTTGTACATGTTATACATTGTGAATCTTAGATGTTTCATTGCTGTGGTGCAGTGACCATTCACTGTTGATATGACTTTTGTCTCAATAAATTAATTTCAACCTCCAAAAGAAAACAGCAAATGTAAAAATCACATTTTTTAATACACACAGGATTGTTAATGAGCATAGTCATGGGAGTCAGAAACACCTGAGTTCCAGTCCTGGCTCTGGCACTGATTTACTATGTGGTCTTGAGCAAGACCCTTCACCTCTCCATGTTATGTGGAGTTGGCTTTCTGTGTGGTAATGACCCAATGTTTGCATGGGAAAGATAGTAAGGGTTGAAGACATTGTTGTCCATGTCACTGATATGATGACATGTTCTAACACTGGGGTCTTGGGCCTCAATAGCAGAGTAACGGGTCTCCAAGTTATTTGTATCACAGTGCATATTTGTGGTTCTGTTAACAAAGTGAAAGCCTTTCCATCTCCTACACTGACTCTGGCCCCTCACAATTTGTTACTGACTAATACCCAGCCCTGTGTCCCGAGCATGCTTTGCACAAGTTGGGCAGTAGAAAACAAAGGGGTAACCTAATTCCCTTCCCCCATTTTATAGTTGTTACAGGGGCTTCCTTCTCCCAGATCTTGGTATTGTGAAAGCTGGGTTCACCAAGGAGGGAGGGGAAAGTGGCTGCTGGCCAATCTTTAGGCATCTCACAAATGTGGGTACTGCCAAATGACTCCTGGCCTGCAGGCCTCTGGTGGGGTCCTTTCAAGGTCAGTGCAGCTACTTGAATAATTACTGAAGAGAGGGAAAGGACACTTTCTTGATGTCCAACTTGCAGGTGTCCCCTCTGGAAATGAAACCACCAGGAGACTTCTCTCTAGTGTATTAACTGTCCTACCTAAAGGCCACCTCAGTTGATCTTATTGACCCAGATGAGTGTTAATGATAGTAGTGTCATTGTACACAGTGACAGTGGACATGGTGAGGTCACAGGGTGTGGGAGATGGACTGAATAAGTGACATTCAGTTTGGCCAGGATTTTCAAAAATTGATAGGTGCCTAAAGTTAGGACCCTAAATCCATATTTAGGCACCTAAGTGAGTAGCTTGATTTTTACCCACTCAACTGCTCTGATACAAGCCAAGCGAAACTGAATGCTCAGCACTTTTGAAAATTAGGCCATTTATTTAGATGCCGAAACATGGATTTAGCAGCATAACTTTAGGCATCTATTATTCACAGTTTTGACCTCTCCCTTTAATCTGTTGCCGCTTCACCCACACATGTATGTCTGTCGACTCTTCAATGGATTATGAAAAAAATTCCTGTTAAATATATAAAAATAGGTCAAAAGTGACATGTTGTAGAAAGACTAAATTGATTAGTATTTCACTGTTTTTAGGGGGTTTTTTTTCTCCTGAGAACTAGTTCATCTCATTTAAAAATTTAAAGGCAAATACTCAGCTGAAATAAATTCTCATAGCCTCACAGCACCCCTGTGAGGTAGGGAACTGCCATTATCCTCATTTTACAGATGGGGAAGTGAAGTACAGAGAGGCTAAGTGACTTGCCCACGATTCTGTGATGGAGCAGGAAACAGAATCCAGATTTCCTAAGCCCCAGACCAAACCACTGGACCATCCTTTTTCTCTCTAACCCTGCATATCTAAGACACAGATGGTGAAATAATGTGAAATAATGATTGACCTTCACCCCATGCAGAGAGCAAGCACAAACCCCATGTGCTGCTTATGTCCCACTTAACCCTCAAACCACATGGGACTTAAGCTGTGCAAATGCCCTGTTGTGCCCCTTTGCCTAGGGATGATTATCCCCCGCCTCGCCCCCAAGACATGGAACCCAGCTATTGCTGTGCACAATAAATAGCTGTGACAGGTTCATTCTTTGTTGAAATTGTACCATTCTGGAACAGCAGCTAAACCACAATAATACAATTCTTCGTGTAACATCTTATGTTTATTGTTTTAAGTTACTATAAAAATTACGGTTTGTGTTGTAGGTTGGTTACTGGAATGACATGGATAAATTAGTTTTGATTCAGCATGAACCTTCCCTTGGAAATGAGTCAGCCATTGAGAACAGAACAGTAGTTGTAACTACAATTTTGGTAAGTTTTTTTCAGTGGTTTTTCTGGTATATGATCCAGACTACTTTCTGGTTATAGTCTCATTTAGTCTGTCAGATCTGGGGGGTTAGTGGGAAGGTAAAAGCGGCATATTTTAAATTTCTTGATTCTCAACTCTGTACAGAATATTTCTGGTGCACATTTGAAATCTATTTTCTCAAATCAAATGAGGGTAAATTCATCCGCTTTACATTTTTATTCAGTTTTTCCCATTGTTCACTGAAATAATTCTCAGAAATGTAAATTAATTCTATCAACCTCTGATTGATAATTTGTGGCTTTCAAGATGTTGAAATAAAAAAATGCCAACGGGAACAAATGAGAAAAGAAAATGAAATCAGGCTTCTGTACTACCAGGTGTCATTCGGTTAATATGCTATGCTTAAAAACAGCTCTATCTATTAGATTTTAAGAGCTTGATCCTGCGATCCTGGCACAAGGAACGCAGGATCTGCCTTTAGTAGTGTGTAAACTTCTAAACTGTATCCAGATAGTTAGCCCATGTAATAATGGGTTATTTGCTTTTCTATATAAACAGTACAGTAAACCTGGAAATTGAATTGGCATGTCTCACACAAGCCATTTCTTAAAAAATGAGTCCTGATATTGTTTAAGTTCAGTGTTTCAATGGAAAAGAAATAGTTAATTTTAACTGAATATTTTTCAGTGGTGCATAGTCATTCATTTTAAAGAATTCCTCAGAAGAGAGGAAGATGTGATTACTACATTAATCCACATTATAAAAGAAATAAATATATAGATTTCAAAATTACTTTTTCAAAGGAAGTCGTACAAACATATCTTTTAAACCGAATATCTAACGTATTTTTACCTCTGAAGTCAGATGTGCCCTTTAAAGCTGATGCTTGTCAAAGCAGACTGGCAAAGGGTGACCTTTACCTGATTATTTTAAAAATTTCACACCTCTGTTCACTGCCCTTTTCACCTATCTCATTAGACAAGACTTTTTTTTAACCATTCAGGATAAGGTATGTCTCAAATGAGAAGAAATATTCTTTATGTAATGTCAGTGTTCTTAAGGAGAATTATCTAAATTGATGCTGAGTTGAAAATAAACCAAGGGAAAAAGTAAAAGTGTTGCTGGGAAATGTTCTGATTCTAAGAATGCAGTTAGTTACCATATTGTTTGTATTATATACGAGGGTTTATGCATTAACTAGGTCCTGACAAATCTCCTATTGAAGGTTATCATTCTGGGATGCAAACCGAACAAGGTACTATACAGCAATTCAGAGTGTAACTCCTAACCTAATTGTGTAATTTTTTGCATGGGACTTTTAAAAATATATGTATTTTTTTCCTAAAAAAGACACGGTAATAGAAAAATTATACTTCAGTACAGTCCTCCTCTTTTCAGCCTCTGATGAAGAATCCTATTTTAAGAAATTGATCAAGGAAGAAAAGAGTCCCACGATGCTGCGAACATTCCTAACTAAGGCTCAAGTATTAACCTGCAGTGTAGTAACATTGAGCTAATTTTCCCATATGGATTACTGTTCCTCTGACTGGATGGCCAGGCACTGAACCACCAAGAAAAGCTCTGTGACTATTCTGAAATGTCTAGAACAGATGATGTTAACCTTCAACTTTGCCGAGCTGAGAAGAAAATGATGTGAATAACAAGTTCTGAATTGAAAATTTTCCTCTCATACCAATCCTCATATCTTTAATTGGGGCTCCCATAAATGAACAGTGTAATTTCTGTAAATAGCTCCAAACTTAGGAGAAGCAAGTAAAAAAAATATTTAAAGGATGCCTGTTTGCCAAACGTATACAAAGGGAGGGAGGGAAAGAGGGTGCTTTTTCAATGTATTACTTTACCTGTCCTGTTTGCATATGTGCATAATAAATGTTATCTTTAGCAGAAGTTTTCCAGTCCACGTATAAAAAGGACTGGTCGTATCATTTTTCAAACCAAGATACTGAATGAATTTTACAAAGCATGCCCAGTTTTCATGCAGCATGTCATTTTGGAATAAATACAATTATCCAAAAATATACCTATTGACCTAAAGTGACCTGCTCAATGCTTTGATATCCAGATGCAAAAGAAATCTGATTGGAATAAAAATATATGGGAAAATTCTGTCTTTGGCTAGTCATGCATATCTCCCATTGATTCAGTAGGAGCCGCACAGTTGGCTCTGAAAACAGAATTTGACCCCTAGTTCTTAATAGTCATCTGCAAAGGCAACAGATGTAGAATCTACAAGCTCTTAATCACAAAAAAGCAACATATTAAACTACAGTACATTTCAGAATCTTGTCATTTTGCTCTTCCCTGTACTTTACTCATTCGCAAATGCAAGACAGGGACTGGTGACCTCTTCACTGCCCTCTTCATATTGAAGGAAAGCTGATTCAACGTACATGAAAAACATAATTTTGGCTGCATGCGTTCCTTCCAGTATTAAACTGAAAAGCTTCTGTGATCAATGCTGTCAAGTTTTTCAGTCTGTGGAAGACCGATATCTAGGCATAGTAAAAGATTTAAGAGTTGTCAGCATGGCATGCTTTAATTTTTGTGTGAAGTAATATAGCACTGATTATTTCACTTTACTGTCTTATTTTGTATGTGTCTATGCTTAATTTGCTGTAATTTTACATTTTATTATTAAATATAAGATATGTAATAAAAGAAACTAGCTCTATACCCAAACAAACAAGTTTGATACTTTCAACTTTGGCAAAATACTATGGTCACCTGTAGTACAGTAAATATGCTTAGATTTTATTTTAAATTTTTGATTTATCATAAAGAAAAATACTCCTGGGAGATTGCTAGAGTGAAAAATTGAGACCTCTATTCTAGTGAACATTCTTATTTAACTGATATTTAGTTTTAATATAGCGTGGTACAGTGAGCTTTAAGCATTTTTTTCAACACAGTACTTCAATATAATATCAACATAATAGGTATCAGAAGGCTAAGAGTGTAAATTACAAACCTTGAACCCATGAAACTTTGCGGTTAAATAAAACAAAACCGAAGCCCCTTAATGTCATTTCTTGGTCAAGTAGTTCTCAAGAAATCCAGCATTATGTACCATCCACAAACCAATCGTGCATTTTAGAATCCCCATTGACTTCAACACAAGTTTTATCAGAATCAATAATGCAGAACTGAGCCATTTTCTTGCACAAAAATCTTTTTTCCACATTATAATTTATTTTTGCAGTGTTTTAGAACGTGTAAAAGGGACTTCATTAAAATAGGCCAACCTTAACCAAACAGTGTCAAGGTTAGTGTTTTTTTCTGACTTCCATTATTAAGTTGTGGGCATTTTACTATACACATCAATCAGCAGGAATGTAATGGAATGATTTGTTTCTATCTGGAAAGATACTTGTTTCAGTCACCCATTTGTATTTCAAAATGTTAAGTATTGTTATAGAATTGTGAATATAGAAGTAAAGCTTGTGTCATTTTAGTGATCTATGTTCAGTGCTCGTCACTGATCATTTCAATGTGGACTTTGTATGTAATTTACTTTCCTACAGATTATCATTAAACAGCTCAAACATTACGATGTTAAGTCCCTTTCAACAATAGCATATTTTGCACTAAGTAATTCACATCTATGTTTTCATTAGCAGGTTAGAGTTTATAGTCCTAAACTGTAATTGTGACTGTCTTCTGCAAGAAATTCTGTAGAACAATCGATCTATCTCAATGGGATAAATAGAATTTAGCATTAAGATATGACTAGGTGTGTTTTATCGATTATTATGTGTCATCGTTACAGAGTGTGAGCTTTCAATGTCATCTATATAATGTGTAGGTTAATGATCCAGTAAAACTTACCCTTTCGTGTCCTAATGCTATTATAATTAGAGGCTGCAACAAAACAGTGGATCCAAACACCCCCAAATTTTCAAGTGGAAATTCAAGCCCACTTTCTGATCTGAATGTGAAAATGGCCTTTATCATAATAATGCATCAGACTGAAGGCCTGATCCAAATATCCCTAAACATTCAGTTTGTAGTTTGAGCACATCTCTGATTATAATATAGCTCATATGGTAGACACATTTTTTATATATCCTACGTAAAGTAGTAGAAAGGAGAGGACAACCTAGCAAGAGAAAGGTAGTACGTGTTCCTGCTACTTTAATAGTATTACACCTCTGCCTCGATATAACACTGTCCTTGGGAGCCAAAAAATCTTACCACATTATAGGTGAAACCGCATTATATCAAACTTGCTTTGATCTGCTGGAGTGCGCAGCCCCGCCCCCCTGGAGCGCTGCTTTACCGTGTTATATCAGAATTTGTGTTATATCGGGTCGCGTTATATCGGGGTAGAGGTGTATTTCACATTTGTGGGTTTCACTCTATTGTTCTTTCCAACTACGATCAGGGTGACATTGTTCTAGGCGCTGTACAAACACATAGTAAGAGCCAGTCTCTGCCTCAAAAAGTACAGTCTAAATAGGTAAAACCAACAGAGGGTGGGAGGGGAAAGAAAAGCACAAAGAAGTGAAGTGACTTGACCAAGATTTCCTGACCAGGTTTCTTGAGTTCCAGTTCAGTGCTCTAACCACTGGATGGTACTGCCTTCACTGAGATCCCATCATGTCCCTCCTGGTCCCCCAACAACACCTTTCCTCAGCAGTTCTTCACAGGAGCATGAGTTGATGTGAAGATTGAATTCGCCTTTTTAAAAGGAAAACCAGGAGTATACAGAGTTTCCAATTTATTTTACTGTCTAAAGGCTACACCTTCAAAGCAGTCCAGCCCTCAGGGAGGAACACATGGAGAGTCAATGGCTGGGGGCTGGGTGGGAAGGGGATGTTGAAGTGGCTTCCTCCGTGCTTCCTCCACACTCGGCGCCTGCCTGAAGCAGCTTGTGCCCGGTGTGTATTTAATGTTACATGTTGTGTTTTGTTCAAGAAAAGCTGAATCCAGCAGTTTAACCAATCTCTGACTCGGCTTTTTTAAAAGAGAGTAAAAAATGAAAAGGTGCCAGGGCAGTGCAGTTGAAGGTTATAAGGAGGTTCTGTGAAGGAGGGAAATCTGACAGGGCCTTGCCACACTTTTAGCTAAGCCACTGCAAAGTGATGCATTGCCTTTGTCCTTGGTTGTTTTTTTTTTTAATCAGTTTTGTTTACAGAATGGGTGTATGGGGAGGGCCAAATTATGGTTAGCACTGCACATATGAACAGGAAGGAACATAAATGCATTCCTAATTTTAAGCGTGTGAATAGTCCCGCAGAGTCAGTGAGGCCACTTGTGCTTAGCCATGTGCTTAAGTACCTTCCTGAACTGAGTATGTAAGGAGATTGGGGGTGTAAGGAACTCCTTCCTCCCACCCCTCTTCTCCTCTGTCTGCACACAACATGGGTGTGATTGAATTAACAGTGGATGGGAATGCCAGGAGTGGGTGCAGGCTAGCATAATTGGCAGCATTTATCACCCTCAGGAAGGTATGTCTGGGTCAGGCCAAGGTCATTGCCATCCATCCTCCCCATTCTTGGCCTTCAACAGGCAGCACTGGTGGGGGGGAGTGGTGACTACCCCTTTTAGAAATTGTAGCAAGTGACACTGTGCGGTGGTTTTCCTTCAGTATCCAGGATGTATTATGTTATGCACAGTACAACTAAAGTAACGCATTGCACTACTGCATGAGTCCTAGAAGTGCTTCATATACTCCAGCCCTCCATAGGTTCACATGTGATCTGCTGTTGTCATCCTCCAGTTTCCTCGGGGGATTTAAAGATGTATAGAACATCACCTGACCAGTCAGGATATGACTTTGCAAGTCGTCGTCCAAAGTCATCATGGACACTTCTCTATGCTCAGGGCCTTTTTTAGCTGTCCTTAGTGGCAAACACTCTAAGCTGTGAAAAGCCTCAAAGGCAGAAAAGGTCACAGAAAAGCCATGGAAAGGGGACTCCACCCCAGGAGCATTGCTTGGTGGCAGCACAGACTGTGGTAACATTGAAGAGATGACCGGGGAGGCAGGCCATGGCTAAGGGTAACACACGCATAATGTGCTCAGAGACCTGCCCCGGGTTGAAGAGATAATTGCTTTCTCCACCCTCCCTGAGTTGTGTTGGGCCTTAAACATGGGACCTTCTCCTCATGCAACTTGAATTTAAGTGAAAGAGCTGGCTCTTTCCTTTCAGATTACACAGTCAGTGTTCTTTCTCAAACTCTGATGCAACCATGGGACCAACCAAAGTTACAAAAGGCTAATGACACTAAAAAGATACATAACTCACTGCTTTTCCTCTTCTAAAACATAGAAGTTTGTGTCAAATTCCGCTCTTGGATGCATAGACAAGGAGCCAGTTGCTATCAATGGGAGCTGTATGTCAGTGTCTAAAGGCAGAATTTAACCTGAAATATTTACAAATACCAGGTGCTTATATTACGGTTAGCTTACACAATTTCCCTGTCACACTTATGTGTTTAATATTTGGTGTGGGGATATCAGACACTACAAAATTGCTGCTACTTACACATGATGTCCATGTGATCATTTCAATAAAGAATACCTAATGTACGCATTTGTACTTTTACTTTTGCCTATGTTCTAATTAGGCATGCAGTAAAAGATGTGAGTATGGAAGAGGGCTATATTGGTCACTGTTAAAGAATCAACATTTGCCAACTGTTATCATAGGTATCTTCTATACTGAGGAGAGGAGAAAACTGTGGTGACTCAGAAGTTTTTATGAGGTAGACTTTTGGGAAATGGTTACTTTAATGGCAAGTATTGTACTTTGAACTGATTATCCAAAAAGATTATGTAAAATAATTGAAGATATCATGTATTATAATTTTCATAAAAAGAAAAATACTAAATTCTGAATCCACAGGGTGTCAAAAAAGACAGTATAATAATATGGGAATATTGTGACATTTCATTTTGTGCAATCACATACCATACATTATCATTACAGTGTAATTTACATACAGAACATAATATCCATTTTTCTGAGACAATTTTACTTGCAATTTTCTAGCTCATTTATGTTATAGAACGACTCTACAGTGACTTCTTTTTGCATACAGTATGCAAAGACAGCATTCTTCTAACATTACGCTTGTCTGTGCATATTCCTTGGTGTGTCCCAAGAAACAGAGAACCTGCACTGTCTCTGTAAGGGGGAAAGTAGGTATTTCCTCATGAGCATATTAGTGATTTCTATTAAAATGCAAATTGCCTTCTAATAGCCAAGGCATGGCCAAATATTTTAAACAATGGAAAGCAAATAACCAACCAGACTATGCATCTGACTATATATGTAGAGGAGCCACAGCAAGTGAAAGGATGTACATAGTTAAGTCAAAAAGGTTAGATTATGTCCTTACATTATCCAACATGCATTTGCACTATGTAGAGCTCCAGTCGTTAGTCAGCCTTTTAGCTTATGATATATGGCAAATTTCTATTGTGAGCTCTCTCACTTAAAATGGTAAATTTCATATAAATGCTTGAATTGTGTGTGTTTATAATAAAAGGGTTTTTAAGGCTGATTTTATAACATTTATAAGCAAGTTAATAATGTCAATAGAATATATATGTAATTAAAATGGATTTCTGTTAGTACTTGGAAATATACATGTGCTAGTGCTATCTGTGAGCTTTTGATAAAATACATATAGTGTTCAATCAGTGGATTACATGTTGCTATTCAGAGTCTATGCTGTATACTTCTCCTTTACAGTTCTACTTCTTTCATTATAGGAAGCCCCATATGTTATGTTCAAGAAAAATCATGATACATTTGAAGGGAATGACAAGTATGAAGGATACTGTGTAGATCTGGCATCAGAAATTGCAAAACATATTGGTATCAAGTACAAAATTGCCATTGTCCCTGATGGAAAATATGGAGCAAGGGATCCAGAGACAAAAATCTGGAATGGGATGGTGGGAGAACTTGTTTATGGGGTAAGCATACCAATTTTTGAAGTAGGATTTAACTTCTCATAACATTAGTCATAATATTTGAAGTATATATGCATTTTATTTGATCTGGGGCAAAGAAAAAATAAAACAGTCGGAATTCAGTTTGAGCATTCATAGTGCTTTCTGTTATTTTCAAGTTAAAATCACAGATATTTTTACATGTTCTACTATTTACTCAAATAATCTGTTTCTTTTTCATATTAGTAGATTTTACAGTTATTAGACCATTGTGATCCTCTGGTCTGATCTCCTGCAAAACCCAGGCAATAGAATTTCACCCATGTTACTCCTGCCTCAAGCCCAATAACTCAGCATTGGATGGGGTCTATCTTTTAGAAAGACACAAAGTCTTGTTCTAAAGATTTCCAATGATGTAGAATCCACATGGTGATTCACAACTAGATTATTCAAAATTAAACCAGCATTTTTCAGAAGAATAGCATCAATGATAGGATTTAAGAGTGAAAATAACCAGTTCTGAAACTATGACTATACATTCTGTCACGATCCATGGAAAGTCGCCTCAGAATAGCACAAAAAGTAAGATTCATGAATACAGATAAAACAGGAACATGAAAAGAAACAGATTGTGGTTCCAAAAAGAGGGGAGAATATGTAAGGAGACTTGCAGCATCTATTGTTACCAAACCTAGAGAAAGCTCAGAGAGCCACCTAGTGGCTCTTCTTCTTGGTGATAACTAAAAAATAATCCTGAAATTATCTAAGTGAGAAGGTTTACACTAACATGCACTGCTGTGAAGCTTGCATGAACCTGTCTAGAAAAGAAAAGAAAAGAAAAGAAAAGAAAAACTGAGGGAGCAGAATTTCACCCTAAACTCCACACATTTTTCAGGATCCATCCAATTACAATGAAGGCCAGGACCATGCATACCAAAGCCCTGTGCCTCTTTCCAGCTCCCCAGGAGCCTGGTTCCAATGGTGCAGTTTTGCCAGATTTCCCCCCACAGGCAGCAGCTCTCGAAATCCCCATGCATAGACCTGGCGCTGTCCATGCACTTCAGGAGAGTGGGAGATGGTGCCAGAGATGTTGCTGATTTCTCTTTCCACATGAGAGTAGGGAGATTACCTGTACGAAGAAGAACCTACCTGTGCAGTTCCCAAGGAACTATCCCCGTCTCTGTTTTTAAAACGTGGAAAGGTGCCTGAACACCATCTAAAGTGTGAGCCTCTTCTCTAGCAGCAAGCAGGCAATGCAACTGTAAAATTCCACCAGGAAGGTAAAACATGACAATTTAGCAGAATATCTTTATTACAGGAGTTGCAAATGAAGAGCCAAATCCTCAAGTGGTGTTAATCAACATAGTTCCATTGACTTAATTGGAGATGCACCAGTTGAGGATCTGGTCCAAAATGTTAGAAAACTTTGAATAGATTGAGAGATATTTCATAAAATATATGAAGAGCCGGTAGAAACTTTTTAAGTGCACCCAGTATAGTTGAATCATGAAAGAGATGATGGCCTTTCATATAGTTAGAACCAATTCAGAGAACTTGCAAGCAGAGTTTGAAGCCTGTATGTCCTTGAATAATCTATCTCATTAAAGGTAACCAGCTGCAGTACTGACCAAAAAATACCAAGGGTATTTAGCAAGCTCAAACAGCAATTAGTGCCACCTAGATGCTAACTTCAATAGAAATGAAAAAAATGCAACCTGCGTGCCATATCCGGTGTTGCAAATGAACTGTGTGAACCAGACACCCCATGCATGTGATAAATACTTATTTTTCTGTCAGGGAGGGAAGTGATGAAAAGTCTCATGACACTTAGCAATTGAGTGTAATAGTTCCTGTGCAGTTCCCATTTTATCATTTAGGAAGAATGGAGACTCAGTTTGGTTCTAGGAGTGGACTATTGGAGTGTGAATGAGGCCACCATAGTGCACACCAACTGGCTGCGCTAGAAGAACAAACGATAGTGTGCTTCCTATCTCTGCCTTTATTTGCTGCTATTATTTACAGAGTTTGTGTCATCAGTTCTTCTTCCCATTGCTCACCCCAAGTCAATAGCTGCTTCGGATCTCCATAAAAGAGGGTGGGGAGAGATCCTCCACCCCCAATCACTAGAGTATCTTGAGCACCTTCCAGTAATGTATTAAGTGATGTGACTGACATCTGCCACATGCAACTTGTTCTCCTTCTTATCCTCTCCCCAGTGGAGAACTATGCATGCATTGTCGTAATGTTTATTTTTCTAGGGGTTTGTTTTGGTTGGGGGTTTCTTGGACTCCATAAATGCTATCTAGAAATCCCAGTCTACTCTTCTGATCTATCTGAGTGACAGTAATAGTCTCGACAACACTCTACAGCCCTTGATAACTAGCTTATTCACAGAAGCACCTTGTGGTGATGAATGCCGTTAGCGATTTGCAACAGGTGTTCCTGGATGCACTAGCAGTCAACCCCAATTAAATATTCATTCTCCTGACACAGAATGTTATTCTTTCTCTGTGTAATGAATAAGAAGGTCATTACCCATTTCTGTCAAAGTCTGAGAAGTGATGGGATTCTAGAGTTCACATTTTTTTAATTTGCTTTTTCTAAGACAGCACAAAATGAGTGGTGGTCTGGGGAAAGACTAAATATTATATTTACTCATAGGGATGGAATATAGCACTCCAGCAAGTAAAACTGTCCTTAGCATCAGACCTAATCTTGCCATGATACCTCAAGTCTGAAGGATCCATAACCAATCCATGCTTGATAGTAATTCAGCCTTGACTGAAATATTGTCAAAGATGCAGGATTTTCAAGTGTATGCTGTTGCTCTTCAGCAAAACTCCAATTTCACCAGGCACCAAATAAAGTAGAACCTCAATTTTATGAACAGCCAGTTATATGAAAGAGGTGTTGATGAAGAACAAGTCAACATCCCTTCACATACCGATGCCTTCAATGCATTGGAAAGCACTTTGCAGTGCTCTGAAGGACAAGAAAGAAGTGATGCACCAGACCTACTGTAATTTTGAGAGGTTCAATTTTATGAACTCCTCTGTCCCCAATTAGTTTGTAAAACGGGTTCAACAATGTTGAGTCATTATTTGTATGGACTATTGTTCCTTTTAGTAATTGCTTAAATCCATAATTGTATATCTTTACTTTTTCTGGGGAAACCATAAAGTAGGAGGTTTAGTGTTTTGGTGAACACATCATACTGAAATAACTGTAAGAATGTCTTCCTTAGATAACCCAGAGAGCAACCCTCGTCAGAATAAGAGTTTATGCCTGCCCTAATATGCAAAACAATATACTTGTGAAAATCACACCAGACACTGCCAAGTTTTGTGGACAGACTGTGGCAGCTAAAAGTAAATCCAGTTAATTGGTGTCTAAAAACCCTGCTTCATCACCAGTCCAGCTAATATCACAGAACTTGAGAGACTTACCAAGAGCCTTGGTATACTCCCAGTATCTGAAGTCTTAGGTGATACAATAATCAATAACCAAGTCTACTATTTACAGTGAGAGTTAGTAAATATGCCAAGATATTGTCAGTATACAGAAGACTAGAAGTTTCTCTGAGTCTTTCAGATATCTAATTATGAGAGTGCTGCATTAGCCATTCATGTTCACAGTAAGTGAAACTTCAGAGAAAAGAAGATATGGCATGGTGTTCAAATTCAGCAATTAAACTGTTCTTCTGCAAAGAGGGGATTTGTATGTGTGATGAAATGCAACTTAGAGAAAACAAGCAACATTTAGAGTAATTGTGGGCTGTTTCACCAAGTAGACAAATCATCATGATATTGCCAACCCCAGTGTTCTAAAATCATGAGTGAGGCCCAAGAAATCATGAGCTTAGCCTAAAATCATGAGATTTTATATATGTGTGTGTATAAATATATAGGGTTCTTTTTCTTTACTTTCTGGTTTTTGAGAAACTTCCTTATTTTAATGAAAACTGACATTCTCATGTAATCACAGTGCTCCAAGAGCTGGGGCTTTAATAAAACCACCAATTTTGGGAGATTTGCAATAAAATTGTGAGAGTTGGCAATGCTGTTGTAATGTTTACCCAAAACAGGTATTGCTCTAATAGCTGCCATGCAAGCAAGTGAGATTTTCAAACATATCTGAAAACAAATTGTTGCTATGAAATTGGTTCAGCATTTTCAGTGGTTGAATTCAAGCTGTCTTATTTCACACTCTACTGACTCATGTTATCAAAAGTTCTAAAAGTCTCAAATTACAGCTGTATGGTTGCCTCTAAGGGACAACCCATTACACATGTATTCTCCAAAAGCCTCTTCATGTACATATGTGTATATGAATGTGGATAGATGAACTAGGTCAAATCCATTATTACTTTAATTCCAATTGAACTCAGTGAAGTTATACTAGGGATAATTTTAGCTTATATTGTTTCACATTTGCACAGTGAGAAAATTACTGCTTGGTGTATAATTATTTTCAGTTGGTGCTTAAGTTAGAATTGTACAGTGGGACTTTCAAGCACAGATATAATCTAAGGATATGGCAGAATTTCTGCTATAAGTCTCCATTTTCAGAGGTTTATCATTTGGCTACAAAACTTGCTTCTAGCTGGAATGTTTCTCATTCCTGAACTATTTTTAACATATAGATTTTTTTTTAATTTTAAGAGTTTTTAGGCATTTCAAATTTTACAGGACTACAAAAATTTACAACATTTCAGATTTTCTTTCTGATTTTGTATCATACAATCAACTTGCTCAGAGGTTAATTTAGCAAAGCATTTAAGCACATGCTTAACTTTCATCATCTGCTGACATCCCATTGAAGTCAATAGGACTTAAGCATGTGCTTAAGTACTTTGCTGAGTTGGGATGGCCTTAATCACATGCTAAACATTTTAAGTGTATTGCTAAATTGTGGCCTATGAGCCACATTCCTAAGGATGCTAGTCCATAAGATGAATTTGCAGCATTTTAGTACTTATAAAATAAAATTAAGACACTGATGCCATGGAGGCTTGGGAGTAAGTCTTGGCTGCCCCTGTGTGGATGTCTTGGGGATTTGAGAGGAGGACAACAGAGGGACACTACGCATCACATGCACACAGGAGCCAGGCAGAATGCTGCCACTAACAGTCCCAGGGTACTACTCTGCACCATTGATCTCGGTGAGTGTTTTCCCCTTGATTTCAAAGAGTACAAAATTAAGCCCCTGAACACAATACTGGCCCAACTAACACACCCAGTAATGCTCCATAGCTTAGACAAGGCATGGACAGTCAGGTTGGTTGAAATGCAAGGGACCTGCCCTCTCATGATATCACCTGGAGGGAAGTGTGGTGATGGTGGACGGCAGAGATGCTTCACAGTACCACCAGCCAGTTGCCACATCTCCACTGCCCTGACCCATTCCATGCCTCTGGCTGCAAAAGCCAGGTTTTAGCCCTTAAAGCCTAGCTACTGGGCCAGATGCAGCAATTGCTCATCATGATGTTTTTTTACAATGTATTAAGTGTTTTAGGCCCATAATATAAAAAATAATGTTAGGGAACTATCAAATACACATGTATACTACAGATAATACCCAGTCATAATCTATGGTGCCATTACAGTGCATGCTGTGAATGTGTGTTAGCCACACACATCAGTCTGCTGTTATTTTCCTTCATATACAGTATATCTTGGATTTGGGGCACAGTACTATATTTTAATAAAACATCCATCAATGTAGTCAGTGTGCTGCATCAGCATGACCTCCCTACACAAGATCTTTTACTTTTATAGGAGAATTTTATTCCAGGTCTAAATTAACAAATCTAGTATCAGAGGGGTAGCCGTGTTAGTCTGGATCTGTAAACAGCAACAGAGAGTCCTGTGGCACCTTGAAGACCAACAGATGTATTGGAGCATAAGCTTTCGTGGGTGAATACCCACTTCGTCACCCACGAAAGCTTATGCTCCAATACATCTGTTAGTCTTTAAGGTGCCACAGGACTCTGTTGCTTTTAACAAATCTAAGCAACCTGGCATAATACAAATAGGCTATATGTCAGCAGACAGCATGATAGATTCTTCTTTTTCATTCATGAAGGATAACCATGCATAGTGATTTCATCTTTTTTGATAGAATGTCTATGCAGATCCACTGGCCAAAACATCCCAGCGGGGCCGGGGAATAGTCCAAGGCTGCATCCATGAACTACAGTGACCCCTGTAAAAAGGCAATGCTAGAGCTCCATGCCTGGGGATTGAGGATCTATTCCAAATGAATCCCAGAGAGATTCCCTGTACAAAACTATTCAACTCAGGCTTTGCATAGGGGTCTGGAATTTGGCCCTATGGGGCTTTTCTATGCTTCCTGTGGGAAGAAATAACTTATCACCAGCTCTATCATACTTGTACTTATTAAGGAAACAAGAGAGAAATTTAGGCCAATATCTTATTTTTTCATAAACCAAGATATACATTATTTATTTTTATTAAGTATTCGTGCTAGAGACTCACCTAGAAACCCAGTCAGGATTGGAATTTCCAATATAAACATACTAGATCCACGTATTCATGTGTTCGTCTCAAATTCAGGTTTTCCCCATAAACTGTAAAGGTGGTGAATGGAAGCACCACACTTTTTCATTTCCATTCCTAACATGCTGCCTTTTAACATGATCTAAGGTAACACCAAAACAAACGTATTAACGCCCTGATCCTACAAAGACTTAGGCACATACTAAACTTTACAGGTTTAAATCTTTGCAGCATCCGGGCCTTAACTTTTTCTTTCTTTCATTTCTATGTTTCTCATACTATTTGGAGTGCACATTGGTATCATTTATTTGCTTCTTTTCCTGCAGGAGGGATCATATCAGACAGAAAATTTGGTTATAACTGACTATCTCTGGTGGGTTTGTAGACAGAACTAGTACTCTGCACATTTGGTGGGGATAGCATGGTTATAATTTTGTTTTAGATTTACCTGGTTTTTTACTTCTCTTACTTTAGCAATCGAGGTAATGCCTCAAATGATCTGTTTTAGGGTTTTATTCGGCAACCCATCACCATAGTATCTGAGTCTTCCACATTATTTGTACACTGAATTATCTGTATACTGCCTATAAAAATTTAAACCTGCATTTTATTTTAATAATTGATTGCATTAATGAAAAGAACACATAAATAAACCTAACAATTTGCTGGTGTTAAAGCTGTAATTTTGGAATTAGCTGCTTAGATGATTTTATAAACCAAATTCAATTAATCTATGCATCTATATTTCTTTTTCTTCTAGAAAGCAGAGATTGCTGTTGCACCTCTGACCATCACTTTGGTACGAGAAGAGGTCATTGATTTTTCTAAGCCTTTTATGAGTTTGGGGATATCCATTATGATAAAAAAGCCCCAGAAATCTAAACCAGGAGTGTTTTCCTTCTTGGACCCTTTGGCGTATGAGATCTGGATGTGCATAGTCTTTGCCTACATTGGTGTCAGTGTGGTCCTGTTCCTAGTTAGCAGGTTTAGCCCATATGAGTGGCACACAGAAGAGCCAGAGGATGGGAAAGAAGGACCCAGTGATCAGCCTCCCAATGAGTTTGGCATATTCAACAGCCTCTGGTTTTCCCTGGGTGCCTTTATGCAACAAGGATGTGATATTTCCCCAAGGTTTGTGTCAAATCTTTTAACTTTTGCATTTTATCTTCAACACTGATGATGCTGGGGTGCATAAATTCTTCCTTCTCTTCTTTTACTGGTGGTATGTAGAAGTTCAATGTTTGTGGAGTTTTTCCATTTAGAAACTATAGAGTATTAGAGAAACTGCTGAGGAATTTTATCACTATTGGTACTTTTCAAACGTCAGTGTAAATACATCAGGAACATTTACTTACTTTCTCAGCTGATAACTTGTACGCATTGGGGCAATTCCACTGACTTCATTAGAACTATACAAGTACTAAATCTTGCCCATTGTATCACAGTAGTAACAGTGTGCCGTTATGCTGACTATTTGACCTGCGTGAATGAATTTCCTCGTTTTGTTTCATATTAAATTGTAAAAACAACAAGGAGTCTAGTGGCACCTTAAAGACTAACAGATTTATTTGGGCATAAGCTTTCGTGGGTAAAAACCTCACTTCTTCGGATGCTGATCAGGTGGTTCCTCAGTTTCTTTGAGAGTGTGTGGCACAGTCTCTCACCATAGTCAGTGTAGTATGTTGATTGCAATGGATTTTTTACCTTCAGTCCATTTGGTATGATGCCCATCTGTTTGCATTTGGAGAGGAAGATAATGTCTGTATCTGTGCAAGTTTTTTGTTGAAGTTGATGGATTTCCACTCCATACGGCTAAATTTAGTGCCTTGCATGGTGTCAAGCTGCATCCGAAGAAGTGAGGTTTTTGCCCATGAAAGCTTATGCCCAAATGGTCTTTAAGGTGCCACCAGACTCCTTGTTGTTTTTGTAGATACAGACTAACACGGCTACCCCCTGATATTAAATTGTACAGTCACTGCTTGCAGCGAATCACCGTGTATAAGAGAGAAAATGCTTTTAGTGACTTTTTCTGATAAATACTATATAATTGCCAAACTTAAAGAGTTGGACCTGAGCAACCAAACTTCTGCGGGAACTTTTATTTGAATCACTCACCACCAGCTCATTAAACATTAAGGCCAATTTTTTCCCAATGTGGATGCCTAAACTTAGCATTAACAGTGGGATTTTCAAAAGTGTTCAGCACTGGCCTAACTCTGCTGCCATTGAAGTCCATGGTAAAACTCCCATTGATTTCAATGAGAGCAAAATTAGCCCAATAATGAGCATCTTTCAAAATCTCACTCTAGAGGCAAAATCATGGTTCCTGGATCACATATTCACTTTGCAATCTAAGAGAAATAGCCAACTTAAAAATGCATCATCTCTTTACCATTTAAATACCTTTGTTTTGTTTTTAAAATGTGGTATGGATTTGTTGGTGAAAATCATGACCCAGAAACAGCCATCTTGTTAGCAGACATTATGAAAACTTAGAAAGTTCTACTCAATTCAACTATATTCTTCCTAGTCAATTTCTTAGCCCTTTCTTGGGCAGACTTCCACCTATGTAAAATGTCAGCAAAAGTGAGTGTTAGGTTTCCCAATGGGGACAACCTAGTGGCAAGTACATAGGATTTGGAATCAGGAACTTCCAAGTTCTCACCTTGTCTCTGACACTGAATTCTTGTGCAGTCTCGAGAAAGTCACTTAAGGTAAAATTTTCAAAAAGTGTCTAAATGACTTAGGACCCTAAGTCCCATTTTCAAAAGTGATATAGGTAATTCAAAGCCTTTCTCATTGAAAAGTCAATGGAACTTGGATTCCTAAGTATTTACATCCCAGATTTAAGTGTTGCTGTGCTCAGCATTGCAATGCCTCACTGATTTAGGAACATCAATCCCTTTTAAAAAGGAGATTTAAGTTCCTAAGTCAGTTAGGTGTTGCAATGCTGAGCACAGCAATACCTAAATACATCTAAACATTTGGGCCTTAGTCACTTTTGAAAATGGAAAAGTTCACTGAAATCAGTGGTTGTTAGGCACCTCGGTGCTTTTGAAAATCCCAGTAAGCACCCAACAATCTGGCCATAAATTACTTATGTGTTTTTTTAAAATTTACCCTTTGGCCTTAGTACTTCAGCCTCTACTCAGATAAGTCTCCTTGAAGTCAAGTTTTGCCAGAGTAAGGACTGCAGGATAGGCACATTAACCCATGTACTTCAGATCTCTAATCAGATTTCTAATCTGTAAAATAATGATAATCCTTCTTCATCCAACCTCATAAAACTGTGGTGAAGATTAATGAAATAATATTCTTATTAACAGGAGAATATTCACTGTTAATATGAAAAGTATTATATACAGTACAATGTGAATATTATTCAACAACCAAACATGCTTCTGCTTGTGGCCTATTCAGGAGTCAAAGCCAGGTTTCCAGAGGTGGTAGAACTAATTCATTGTACCACCTAGCTCCCAGAGCCTTTCTAGTTTCATATTATTATGTTGTATTTTAAGGCAATGTATATGAAATAAAACAGTATGTATCTCAATTTTGTTTGCTACACTAAATAAGGCCGTGAAGAGTACTGTTTCCTTTCAGAACATATGCTTAGATAACACACAGAGGAGGAAGGATGATATTGTGCATAAGGCAACTGAGCAGGAGATATAAGAGCTGGGTTCCATTCCTGGCACTGCCACAGACTTCTTGTGTGACCTTGGACAAGTTACTTAAACTCTCTGAGCCCAATCCTGCTCCCTTTGAATTTAATGGCAAAACTCCCTGACTTCAATGGCAACAGGAGCAATCTTTTTTCTGCCTGTTTTCTCATCTGTATAATTGGCAAAGTGTTTACATCAGAGAAGTGGTGTAAGGCTAAATATTCATTAATTTTGCAAAGCATTTTCCTCAGATGACAGGTGGCACCGAAATGGAAAGTATTATTTATTACTTATTTATTGTCAATATTCCTGTTGTTATTATGCACAGCTTCTTAAATAACTACATGAAACTACGGGTTTTCAGAGCTGCGGGAATATGTACTCGGGTTGTTTTCCTATAAGTGGAAAATTACATATAAGTGGCAATCGCGTTCTAATACTCCATGCAACATATTGTACACTCACGGGAGCTTGGGGACTTTGAGTTTTGTTTTATATTTTAGAAGGAAGAATAGAGCCCACCTTGCTTTACTATTTTCACTCTCCAAAAATAGATACTTCTTGTTACAAATCCCTATAGTGTAGTCTAGCAGCCATTTCCTGTATTAAAAAGTATCAAGAGAACAACCACTAGAGAGCATTCGCAATGCCTTGTACAAATAGCACTGTTTATATACTGCATTTTAAATTCCAGGCCGCATAATTTATGAGGGGAGTCTTGTTATGAAATATACAGTAGTATATTAAACTTATAAAATCTCACACCCATTGACTGTTACTTATTAATAAATACCCAGTAATAATGATCTCTCTCACTCTCTCTTTCTCTTTCTCTCCTTGACATAAGAGATAGGAAAATGTGCATTATCTTATTCATGTTTAGATCCCTCTCAGGTCGCATTGTTGGAGGTGTTTGGTGGTTCTTCACACTCATCATTATTTCGTCATATACTGCTAACCTCGCTGCTTTCTTGACTGTTGAGCGAATGGTCTCGCCCATAGAAAGTGCAGAGGACCTGGCCAAACAAACCGAAATTGCATATGGAACACTGGACTCAGGGTCAACAAAAGAATTCTTCAGAGTAAGTTGGCATGCTTAATAAGGGCCATCCTCCCTACAGACAAGTGTACGATGAAATGTTCAGAATGCTGAAATAATGTTCCTTTACAAATAATTATGTTGTGGTTTGTAGTTCCTGCAATACTGAGGTTACAATTTTTACCTCCAGCACCACTTGTTGGCATTTGCAGTCATTTTAATTTGTGGAAAGCTTATTGATCTTGACACATCAGGCAAGGGAACAGCCCTGAGGGATGGTGGAACCAGAGATAATTAGAGCAGCATTGCACTACTGATTCATCTCAAGCTACAGTACTGAAATAATATCCAGCATTGAATGAGCTGTGATGATGATAAGGAGTCTTGCTGTTTTGCTTCTACCTATAGATTTTGCTGGGAACTCTTTTGCTGAGGGGAGGCATATGAAGTCTGGTGACTGGACAAAAATTTTACTAATCGCTGACTTACATAGAACATGGAAAATGTGATGTTTTTGTGGGTTTGGCGCATTAGAAAACAGCATAAATGATCAGTCAGATGAATTTGTTGTGTGCTATCTCTATTGATTAGTTCATTTTCATTTGCTTTCCTATATCAGTGTGGTAGGGATGTATTGTTCTCTTCTCCCAGCAGTTTAGAGGCAGAAAGCACTGACATTACCAACAGTACATAAGAACACTGATCACTCCTTCTGCTTAGTTTTCTGTCTCTAGCAGTTGAAAGTACAGCCCAGTTGGCTGAACTGGTATAAGTCTTAGTGTTTTCACGTCGTTTTTAGCTAGACATTGTTAGCCAGTAGCCTCATCTGAGATTAATTAAATGCTAGGTGTTAGCTAAAGTTCATAGAGAAAAGATGTTTTCAGTAGAAACAAGGAGTTGGAATGTTGTTGTTTTTCTTTTCATTAAGTCTTGTTAAAAGGACACTGTCAAACGCTGGGATGTTCCCCTCTTCCCTCCCTCCAACCCCCTCAAAATAAAATAAAAAGACAGACCATTGGGCTTTTTCTTCAAACTGAAATCTCTCAACTAGGTATACATTTTTAACAAAACTTAAATGTGGTTCCTAAATTACTGACAATATCCTTTTAAGGATATGACATAGAATCTGCTAAGCATTCCTAACATGTCTATAGTTAGGTATTTTACCACAGGAGATGCATGGAGATATTTTAGAAGACTTTGTAAAAATGTTTTAGTATTATTTTACACCTGTATTGTGTACATCAGTATGGTAGATACCTTATGGAACATAGGGCTAGAAAGGTCCCTGACTCAGAGATTTTGCAATCTGGGACTCTGATCTTGCAAACACCTATTCATGTGTTTAGCCTTATGTGCAATCCATTGTTCAGTGTGTGTTATGTGTCCCCTCTGTACCCACTCCATAGAGAAGATGGGTCTGTTACAACTTATAACTCTGGATCTGGAGGTTGGCCAAGATGGTGGCTGTCACATACAAGGGGGCTTGTCTGGGATTTGAACTCCTTTGATCCTCTAGATGAGCTTCCTTTGTCCTGAGGCAATGTGTAACCCTCTGACCACTATGGCTTACAAGGACTCCTTGGTGCCTGAGCTACCAAGTCTGGCTCTTTAACTAACTGCTGAAGAGTCATGTTCTAGTTTTCCAGGTTCGATCCCTGGTGTAGACCAAAAATGGTGACCATTGGTGAGTAGTTCCATTAACTAAGCTAACACAATAAGGGTAATGAAAATATATAAATGGCTGAGGAATAAGACAGGTTTATATATTCTTAATAGTTCCCTGTTATTTTTTAATAGACTTCACATGCCCACCGTAAAATCTCATTTCTTGTAGGCAATGCTGCAGAGTGAGTGTATAGGGATTTGGGAAAAAAAACAAAAAAAAGAATGGGACCCTTGCTCTGAAGCTTACATAACACTTTGACAAACTGCAATTTTGAAATAATGAGGTCAGCTCCTTTGATATATGGACGAACTACCAATCTCAGCCACAATACTTTTGTCATTTTTTTCTAATCATGCTGTAAAGATAACTACTATATTGTGCTTTAACTCTGTATTCTATGTAAATAACAATAGCCATTTTAAAAAAGAAATAGCATTTTTGAGTCCACCTGTGGTAAACACCATTCTTTCACTTTAATCTTTGAAAATTAAAAGAAAAGCAGCAAGATCAACTGTATCTCAACATTGCCCCCCCCCCCCCCCGTATTTTAGAACATAAAAGCAAACAAGACAAAAGTAGCCACAAAAACTAAATGTAACTGCACATAGAAATGTGGAGCTTTAACAAGCACTAGGCTAGCTGGAGCACTTTGTTTAAATCATGTATCTAAAGGCTTATCTTCAAAAGGGTTCTGATCTATGCAATGGTGCGGTGTCTATTGCTAAAAATACTTAACAAGAAATATAGGAGAAACAATAAAGTATTTCCAAAGGGATGCAAACATCTTCACTTAAATGTTTTACAATACAGACATTGAGATCCAGCCTTGATAAACATTAAAAGAAAACCCCACCTGATTCACTCAGTCCAGCATTCTAAAAGGTTGGAAGACAAAGAGCACTTCTCATCATTTTGGGGCTTCATGCTGTTGGTTACCATTTTATTAATAATTACCATCTCGATGAAAAATGATCACTCATGACCCTGACTATATGGGGTCCAAATGTCAGAAAATCTAAATTAATTTGCAATCTGCTTTAGTTCTGATTGATCAGCAAAGAGAAAAAATGTTGTTTTTAAGTCAGCTTAAAAGAAAAACAGAGTTCCTTTCTGACTGTTCTTAAAGCTGGCTGGAAGCTGTGAAAGCTGAATGTTGAGAGCAGTTTGCTCAAAGGCAGAGAATTAAATTTCAATTGTCTTGCAGAAAAAAAATCCTATATGAAAGGTAGCATTGTCAAGTATGAGAATTCAAACCTCTCACTATTTCCTTATATTATAGTATGGAAAATCTATTGGCTTTCTGTCTGGTTTTCATTCTAGTTTAGCTTATATTGTATATTGAATGTTAATGCTGACAGAATTATTCAGCTGAAAGTTGCAGGCTTGACAGTGTTTCTATATAGATGAGGACTTGTTAGAACTTCAGTGCTTTCTGTTGTTTGCCTGGTGGGAGAAGGAAACTGAATTGCGAAAAAGGTTTTTTAAAAAAGACCTTCTTTAAGAAATGTAGGCCATGATTTGCTAAGACAGAAGAATGAAAATTTTACCTTAATTTATTATGTTTTAGTTTTACGAGAGAAACCAGTACACTATATTTCCTTATCAAGAATCTAGCACTAAACACTTCAGGACTATTGGGAAGTAGAGATAGATAAAGACACGTCAGCATTCTTGATATGGCGCCTGATGCAGCACTGCGGTACTCCAGTTTTATACCACTCTAACTGAAATCAGTGGAGTTACCCCAGTGTAAAATAGGAATAACACAGTGGTGAATCAGGCCCAGATCCTGCTCCCTGTTACACAGGTATAAATGCAGAGTAACTCAATAGTTATCATTGTTTAGTCTGCAGAAGAGAAGAATGAGGGGAGATTTGATAGCTGCTTTCAACTACCTGAAAGGGGGTTCCAAAGAAGATGGATCTAGACTGTTCTCAGTGGTACCAAATGACAGAACAAGGAGTAATGGTCTCAAGTTGCAGTAGGGGAGGTTTAGGTTGGATATTAGGAAAAACTTTTTCAATAGGAGGGTGGTGATGCACTGGAATGGGTTACCTAGGGAGGCGGTGGAATCTCCTTCCTTAGAGGTTTTTAAGGTCAGGCTTGACAAAGCCCTGGCTGGGATGATTTAGTTGGGAATTCGTCCTGCTTTGAGCAGGGGGTTGGACTAGATGACCTCCTGAGGTCCCTTCCAACCCTGATATTCTATGATTCTATAGTTTATGGGCACTATGGAAGTAGTATGAATTGATACCAGGGTAATAGCGGCAGGAGCTGGTTCCATGGACATGACTAGCTGTGTAGGTATTTTTGATGGTTGAAATTTTTTAGCTGTCAGTATTTTTTCCATGATAGGATAAAATGGAGTGTATGCACCAGCTGAAAAAAATGAAGAGATTTTGTTAAGCTCCTACACAAGGCATATTCATGAGACACTTGTGGTAAAACGCTGTTCACTAGCAAACGCTGATAAATGTTCCAGCCACAAAGATGTTTCCTTTCACCATTCTCCTGTGCAGCTGAGACATTGTTCTCTGGCCACATTACTAATACAATTATTCAGTAATTGGTACAGATGAATACTTCAGGGAGTTTTTCTTTATCTTCTACAGAGTTTCCATACTGACTCTTTTTAAGGTAAATCAATTTAAGTGAATATTTAATTCCTTAGTTCCATATTTTCTTGTAAAATCTCCCCAGTTCCACCCACTCTGCCTGTCATGGAACAAGGTGCAAGGTGCTGAGAAACCTCAACTCCCACTGAAGTCAGTGGGACTTTAGGACTGATTCAACATCTGTTGCTATTCAGAAAAGCACTTAAGCACATGCTTAAGTCCCATTGATATAAGGTTAAGCACATGCTTAAGTGCTTTGTTGAATATGGATGCACATAAGCATTTTGCTACTTTGCGGCCTGGAGGCACTCAGCACCTGCCAGGAGCGCTAGTACCTTGCAGGACTGAGCACAAAAACCTAATTCTGCTTCAATGAGAACTCCTTTCAACTTGTACAAGAGCTGGATGGAGCCCCCTAGAAACGTCTAGTTTCACTAAAAGGCGCCTTCTCCTCCCATGCCAAAGAGGAGGGGAGAGCTGGCGTTTGTTCAATAAAAACGCTGATTGATGTATAGCTGCCAACATTTTAAAAGTTGTGCATTATCTAGGTTTGAATATATGTATCCATGTTGTTGGGGGGAGTAGGGGAGTAAAGGTAGGTGGCTTTTAATTGTACATGTTAAATATGAATGGCAAATATGCAAAGCCTTATTCCTGACAATAGAATCTTTCTTTCTTTCTTTCTTTCTTTCTTTCTTTCTTTCTTTCTTTCTTTCTTTCTTTCTTTCTTAAGTTTTAGATAATTACAATAACAAAAAAAATACCATCTTTTCCCACCTATAAGGCATTTGTAACTGTGCTAAGCATTCACCAGGGGGACAGATTTCCAAGTAATCTACAACAAGCTGTAAATTTATCATACATTTCTGGCTGAGGTCTGCACCACTGGTACAATCCTGAGATGATAGGAGGAAGGGCTTGGTAGGCTAAGGGTCACTGATATTGGAATTCTTTCTCCCACAACACAAACAAAAGACCAAGATGCCATGTCTTTGAGATCAAAGCTCAATACACCATTTTGTTTTGTGTGCACATCTGAGTTTTGTTTATATTTGTTTTTAGTGTGGGGTGTATTCCAAAGTAACTACTCAGCCTTTACTCAAGCAAAACTTACTGAAGGCAATACGAGTTTTGACTGAGTAAAATTGAGCATTAAAACTGAGTAAGGCCTTCAAGATTTTATCCAATATTTGTGGGAGGCCTGTTTTCTTTTTCTCTTTCTCCTGCTCTGTGGATTTTAAGAGATATATTGCCCATTTGTAAGTTTTGGCTTGAATTTTCAGTCACCCTAAAATCCTTTTACTCTGCTCTGAAAGCGAAAACTACCTTTGTGTAGCTGAGACTTCAGGCCTATGATTGCAATTATTTTATTAAGGCTCCCAGAGGCTACAGGGTGCCTAAAATTAAAGTTTGTTGTTATTATATTATTGTTATTTACTGTTTCTTTTAAAATAACCAAAGTACTCAAGGAAATCTCTTGCCCGGGTAAAACTGTCCAAAAACTGCTGGTGTGAGGGATCAGGTTTGATCAATTGTACATTGAGTTGTGGTGCATTCGATGCCTCAGTGTCTATGGTGTATCTAATTTCTCTTTAATTTTCTCCAGAGATCAAAAATAGCAGTGTATGAAAAGATGTGGACCTACATGAAATCGGCAGAGCCATCAGTGTTCACTAGGACTACAGCTGAGGGAGTAGCCCGTGTTCGCAAATCCAAGGGCAAGTTTGCCTTCCTCCTGGAGTCCACCATGAACGAATACATTGAACAGCGAAAGCCGTGTGACACCATGAAAGTGGGAGGAAATCTGGATTCGAAAGGCTATGGAGTAGCCACACCCAAGGGTTCTCCATTAAGGTGGGTGGAATAGTATAACAATATAACATGTGTTGTTATAGTATTCCACCTTCCCTGATGTCCCTGATATAGTTCTTTTTGTGTTGTGTGTGAACATGGTATGTTATGTTTTCTTTTACTCCATTTCATATTTTTGATCAACAAGGAGGTAACAGTTTCCAATAGTGATGTAGATTTAATAGCTATAGTTGACGTATCTTTCAAGGCCATATAAAAACCAAACTGGTTGAACACTAGCTACTTCGTCAACCTAAACAAATGTTAACAGCAGCTGTTCTAGCTCACCAGCTTATTTCACCAAATTCAGCCCTAAGGTTCATAATATCAGTAACATTCCTACATTTTATGTTTTGGTTATTGACTCCGGCTGCTATTTTCTAGATAAAAAGCTGCTTGTAGCATCTTATTTCAAATGTCAACATTTAGGAGATAATCAGTACCAGTGTTTAATTTATTAAAACACCTTCTTATCTAGAAAAAAAAAAAAAGCTAAAATTTGGGTTTCTAGCATTATGCCTTTCAGGAGTTCCTTCAAACTTACTACTACTCACATTTACATGAGCACTCTGAAATTAGAAGATAAAATTATTCCAAAATGACTTTAAAAGGAATCAGGCTTATTCAGTGAAATAGGAGAATTTCTGGCTTACAGGCAAAGCATATTTGTTTTTTATTTAAATCTTTAAGATAATAAAATTGGAGGTGTCAGATGTGTGGTAAAATTGGAAGCATTTTAACACACATCTGATACCTCTAATTTTATTATCCTAGAGATTTAAATAAAATAAATGTTACCTGCATGATCACCACTCTGGGTTACCTACAAGAGGCTCTAATGAGGCAGATGCATGGAAGAAATTAGGTGGGTTGAAAGTGAGAGTTGAAAGGAACAAAATAAGAAAAGTGTGTGCAATCAATGGTACTAGTTAGGAGGAAATAGAAAAGAGAGCCACCTGTCCATATGCCTAATTTCCATGTCTACAAAGAAAAACCTTATAATTGGTGTAAAGATAATGGGTTCTGAACTCACTGGTTTTACACCATTTTAACACCATTGACTTCAGTGGGGTAACTCTTGGGTTACACTTGTATAAGTGGGAGGAGAATTTGGCTCATTTTATCCACACCAAAAGGAAAACAGCAGTGTAATGTGAATTAGAGCATGCTCAAGGAAAAATAAGGCCAGTTATTTTGGTGCCCAGATATGAATTTTGGTCCCTGACTGTAGATACCATCAAGATTTGAAAGTTTGGGCCTTTGCAACTAATGAAGTGGTTAATAATAAAGAAGGAAATGGTGGAATGTCATGGGGTAGGGGCGGTTATTAAAGTTAAAGGGCAATAGAAATGGGAAAAGCAAAAGCAAATTCATTATGTCAGTGTATTTTGGGGATTCATAAGCCAGAGATATTTATTATGTGTTAATATCTCTTTCTCACTGTTTCAGGCAAACTACAGCTACGACTGCTAGGCAGCACTGCAATTATGACTAGAACTTACATCTCAAATAGTAGAGAAATACCCACTGATGATGTACCCTTGCTTTACTATGCCAAAGCCTGAGCAAAATCACTAGTATGCATCTTAGCGGCTGTCAAGTCTCTTAGCTGTGGATTGTTTCCTGTGCATGTTTTATAGGGCTTTTTAGTCAATTTCACTGTCTTCTTCACAGTGTCTACCACCAATGGCAAGAAACAATCAGCTATAATAACCGTTAGCCAGTGGAGATTTTTTTCAGTTTGGCGGATTGGACAAAAGCAGCTAGGGGGAAGGGGGACCAAGCATGAAGCAATTATGTATAAGGTCAGGGGTAAGGGAGTCTGGGAATATAGTACAATAGATGGAACAGAGGAGGCTTCTCAAGTATGTATATAAAATGCTTGCAAAGATCCAGGTTGACATCCTCTCTCCACTGACATCAGTGGCAAAGCTTCCATTGTCTTCAGTGGGGCCAGGATTTCACCTGAATGGGTGACACTGTAACAGCATCCCTATGATAGGGGATGAGATCAACTGCATTTGTTTTTTGAGTTCCACTTTAGCGCACCATAAAAATAATTCTACCCAACATAAAAATCAGACCAAACCTTCTTTCAGGCTGCCCCATCTGGCTGTCTTAACATCCATGCTTTTCCTGAGCCTTTCTTTCACATGTGCTGAGCTGCTTATGCTCCCACTGAAGCAATTCCACTCCATCTCATCCCTCCTCAGCCCAAGTGATAAAACCTCAAGTAACAGATCAGTGCCCCTAACCTATAGAAAACCATTAAGAAACCCACTTATTGTTCTGAAAAGATATATGTGAATAACCAATAATACCTCACATTCATAACACATCCATCTATATAATATATACAAGCACTAGAGATGAAGGAAGATTATTATTTCAAAGGTAATTTTGTGTTAACCATGTTCATGAGCTGCCTATGTTTATTTGCTATGAGCATTCCAGTACTCAAGCATTTATTCACATCAATTTTCAGGAAAAGTAAATTTTTAGTTACCTGCTTAAATATTTTCTATGCCGAAATTTGAAATGAAATATTTGCAATGGGAAGTCTTGGGCCTGGCCTGGTTCTCCTTTCCTTTACACTGCTGTAAATCGGGAGTTTCTTCACTGAAAATGCAATAACAATTGTGTCAAGCTCGTGTAAGCGTAAGGAGAATCAGGCCATCTGTCTCCACAAGTGAAGTATAGAAAGAAACGGGGAAAAGCTATTTTTACCTGTTACATAGTCAGAAGGAAAGTCTGCGGTATAAGACCAGCAATTTATGGGATTCCCTACTCTCAGATTAATGGAATCAGTTATTCATTACATACAGAAATACTATGCATATTCATCACCCCACTTCTGATGATGAAATCCTCCTGTTAGAGACCTCTGTGGACTGATCTCTCATGTTGCACGTGATCAGGACAGTGGATTTCAATTCAATCCCTTCCCTTTGTCTATGGAAGCGGGTTTCAGACTCCAGTAGGGCTCAACCAGTAACTAGTGGTTAATTTTAATTGTGTACTCTTGATTCTAGGGACACATTATGATACATGTGTATCATTGAAGTGAAAAAAATAGGAACTGTTGGATGGGAATTTGTTTTGTGCCAACCAGGTAGTACCATGCTATCAGGTGTCTCTCCTTCCCTTCTTTTTATGGATATCCATTTATGTAAAGTGCCATTAAAGTTTGTCACCCTTGGAAGAGAATTTGGAACTAAGGGCAGAGGCAGACATCAAAAAGTCAACATTTGCTAACAGGTACTGCCAGTTACCAGTTATTTCTCATTCCCAGCATGCTGGGGATTTTCAGTATGTCCAATACTACTGTCGGTACTTAGCAAATAATGACTTTTTAATGGCAGCCAGTGTTGCTTTTCTCTCATACGTGGCGAGTTTAGCAATGGTTGATAAAGTGCTGTCCCCATCTAGCTCCTCAGTGAGGTCTGCATTTGTGAGGCGTGGTGGCAGAACACACTCTTTTGGCCAGACTTCATGTCCCCCATGAGAGCCACTACAGCCAGTAAAAATCTGTTGTGCTGGCTGCTCTAACCTATGTTTCTGGAGCTGCGCTATTGAAGAAGCAAAAGGTCTCCATTTCTGATTACAAAGATGGTAATTTCTGTTGCTTATCTCAGCTATGCCTCCTGAATCTAATGGGAAGGTTTCACCCTTAGCCATTAAAAAAACTTCTTATGAATTTTACAATATGTTTTTATATTCAACAACAAAACAGGATCTATGTGCTGCTCAAATGTTAGGCCTTGCCTGTGCACTCCTTCCTGTACTGTATTGGCACCACAGACAAACACTAGAAAAGCAGTGACTCTCTTACAGTTTTTCACCCCATAAAGAAATGTTTGGGATGCTAAAAGCATCCTGAACTGTCTTGTCAATGTCTCATGTTTTTTGTTTGATTGGACACAATTTTGTCCAGTTCCACAAAAGTACAGTGAAGTACCATGAAGTTGAAAGGTTCTTCAATTAGGAGGAGGCAAATTGGTAGTTTGGACTGGGGAAAGATCTGCATTGGACAGAACTCATGTGTGCAATCGCATGTGCTTTGTAACACACTGCCCTCACCTGTGTGACTTAGCCTGATCTCCTGTGTGACGTTTGTTTCCATTAGTAGTTGCCCCAATAAAAGGCCATCCTTTCACTGCTGAATTTCTTTGTTGTACTAGGCGTGCACAAAGAGGGCAAGTAGGGGCACAGGCGGGGGGACTGAACCTACTCCCATTGAACTCAGTAGCTTAATCTCACTGATTTCAACTGAAGTATCAATGCCCCACGTGGTATTTGGATCAGGATTAGCATGGAAGTAAAGTAAGAGGGCATCATACCCTGAATTACATTTGATGACCAGACAAATATTCATATTATTGTATATATTAATTGCACTACTATGTTTCAAAAAGTATCTTGCCATTATTTGGAATGTCAAACTCCTATTAACTCTGCATGGAGCATTGGCAAAGCTGGGTTCCCCTTTTCCTCCAAACTGATGAACAGTTTGTATTTGAATACACACTGCCTGCACTTCACCAGATATTGTCTCACCACTTCTCCCAGAAACTTCAGATAGATATTGAATAATGCAGATCTGAGGGTTACGTTTTGTGAGACATGTGAGATCACCAAGTTTAATTACCCTCTGACCTGCAGTCTTTAAAATATGGGGCCAGTGTAGAAAATAGAAATAACGCTATGATCAGATGATATTTAAAATGATAGTACATAGTCAATAGTTAAAAGAATTTAAAATGTTATTTGTACCCTATAATATAGAGTGATTCCAAAACTAAAATTAATTCTATAACATTTTACATAGGTTACAAGACATTTTATTGTCTTGAATTATAGTATGATTCATTCTCTGTCGCATTAGGTAATGCTCTTCCCTTGGCTTTATGCATAACAAGGGTTGAATTATCACCTCAATACTCATACTTCCTCATTATTGCTTTTAGTACATTAAATGGGGCAAATTTTGCAGCTCTTGTGGT